TCAAAGTAAAGGCAGAAAAAAAGTAAGGAACAAGGTAAACAAGTTAGATCACATAGGCCATCTATATGTAATAGAATGAAAAAATAGTACAGTGCACATAGCATGTACTTGGGTGCCTGTGGGTTAAGGGCCAACTGTATTATTGATGCCAGTACTACTTACATAGGCATAACCTAAGCTCAATCTAACTGGACTATAGGACAAAGAATTAGCTTTTTCCACTTTATATAACAGATTTAATATGTACTTTGCTGCATTACTTCCACTATTTGTCTTGGGAAGCATGCACAGTGGTAAGAAAATTGAAAAATAGGAGCTTCAACCTTCGAAGCTGCCGGGCCAGTGAATGCCAGACTGTTTAGCTTCAACCTGTACTGCATCCTTGTTGCTTTACTGATAATTAATTTGTATTTGTGTTTGTCAGTTTTGTTTGGTGTCATTTATATCTTAACTTTTAAGTAATTTGTACAGACTGTTTTGCAACATGAGTTGTTGTTTTCTCTCTCTCTCTCTCTCTCTCTCTCTCTCTCTCTCTCTCTCTCTCTCTCTCTCTCTCTCTCTCTCTCTATCTCTATCTCTATCTCTATCTCTATCTCTATCTCTATCTCTCTCTCTTCCTCTTCATCTTTTTCTTCTTTTTGTTTATGGTATTTGTTAATAGAGGAAATGTTCTGATTTCTTTAATGATTCTGATTACTGATTTTCATGCAACTTTATTTCTAGCCACCAGTATGTATAGGCTCCTCTTAATCCTCAATCTCATGCTTTTTCTTGGAATATCCCCCCCCCCCCTCTCTCTCTCTCTCTTTCTCTCTCTCTCTCTCTCTCTTTCTCTCTCTCTCTCTCTCTCTCTCTCCCTCTCCCTCTCCCTCTCTCCCTCTCTCCCTCTCCCTCTCCCTCTCCCTCTCCCTCTCCCTCCCTCCCTCCCTCCCTCCCTCCCTCCCTCCCTCTCTCCCTCTCTCCCTCTCTCCCTCCCTCTTTCCCTCTCTCTCTCTCTCTCTCTCTCTCTCTCTCTCTCTCTCTCTCTCTCTCTCTCTCTCTCTCTCTCTCTCTCTCTCTCTCTCTCTCTCTCTCTCTCTCTCTCTCTCTCTTCTCTCTCTCTTCTCTCTTCTCTCTCTTTCTCTCTTTCTCTCTCTCTCCTTCTCCCTCTCTCTTTCTCCCTCTCTCCCTCTCTATTTTTTTTCTCTCTCTTTTTTCCCTCTCTCTCTCTCTCTCTCTCCTTCTCCTCTGTCTGTCTCTCTCTGTCTCTCACTCTATCTCACTCTCTCTCACTCTCTCTCTCTCTTTCTCTTTCTCTCACTCTCTCACTCTCTCACCCTCTCCCTCTTACTTCTCCTCCTCTTCCCTACCCTTCCCTTCCCTTCCCTTCCCTTCCCTTCCCTTCCCTTCCCTTCCTCCTCCCTCTCCCTCTTACTCCTCCTCCTCCTCTTCCTCCTCTTCCCTTCCCTTCCCTTACCTTCCCTCCCCTTCCCTCCCCTTCCCTCCTCTTCCCTTCTCTTCCCTCCTCTTCTTTTCCTTTCCCTTCCCTTCCCTTCCCTACTCTTCCCTCCTCTTCTCTTCCCTTCCCTTCTTTTCCCTTCCTCCTCTGTCTCCCTTTACTTTTCTCCCTCTCCTCTTCTTTCTTTTTTAATCTTGTCACATTCCACCTTAACACTTTCCTCATCCTTTTTATATAGACATTTGGTACTTTTACAGTTTTTTAGAGCTAACAAATTGTTTGATAATTTTTCAGTTATGTTTAGAAATTATGGGAAAACTGATTGTATTTATTGTTAATAGCTTGCTGCACTTGTTATATGCATGTTAGAATTATGAAAGGCTTATATGTATTGCACCTGAAAAGAGAGAGGGAGTAGTCATTATGTAAGCAATGACACTGATCTCAGGAAAAAGGAAAAAGTTGGTAATTTAGCATCTTGTTTTTAAAATGATTGAATGGGCCATTACAGTGAGACCTAGTACTTGGGACAGCAAATATTGAACTTGTCAGAGTTGGTGGATAATCTTTTCTATATATTAGAATAATTAGAATGTACTGTAATAATGAATATGTGCAGTAGATGTACATGCGTGCATATGTGTTCGTGTATATTTGATTCATTTGATTTATGGTTTGATTTACCATGCTCAGACAGCTGGATGTGGAGCTATTATATTTATTTTTTTGTAATTGTGTCTTTTTTTTCTTAATTTATTTGATATATTTTATTGGAAATATGCCAAATCCATTGATCCAACCAACAATTGTTCTGTTGATACTGAATGAGAATAAATATCTTTACAGTACTAGAGATGTATCTGACAAGTTTTGATTATTTCTTTATCAGAAATACGTTATCAAAGAAACTACAGAGTATATACATATATATCAGACATGATATAAATGTCAACACAGCATCAAGCAGATTCAAACTATCCAAGGTCGTGGCAGCAATTATCATGCAATGAGTGGGAGGTCACAGTCGTCAGGTGTTTTGCCTGCTCATGTCTGATATGTGTATACTCTGTAGTTTCTTTGATGTATGTATTTCTGAAGAAGATATCGAAACCAGTCAATTACTGTGAAGATATTCATTCTCATTCATACCTTTTCTACATTTGTCAACATGAATATGGTTCAAGAATTATACTGTGAGAACCTGTTACCCACAAACCGTGACAGCCAACTCAGGCAGTAGGGCACCAGACTTGCTTCCTTCAGGATGATCTTGCCCACTAGGTTGCTTCTGCTCAAGACAACTCCAGATGGAGGAGGTTTTATTAGCCAACCTAGGAAGTTGTGGCTTGGGCAGATAGATCAGATACATTGTGAGGAGCTAGATATGGGCATTGGCCCTGCATGGTGGTTTACCATTAGGGACCCATGGAGGTGGAAATGAAGGGTAGATGCAGCTATGCGACCCTGAAAACATTAGTTCCTATTGATTTATTGGTACTGAGACTGGGTATCACTGTCATGGCAACCAGTGATTCATTTTGGCTTCCCTTTTTAAACAGTACAGA